CTCCCTTCCTCCCCTACCTCCCTTCCTCCCCTTCCTCCCTTCCTCCCTTCCTCCCTCCACCCCTTTCTCCCTTCCTCCCCTTCCTCCCTTCCTCCCCTTCCTCCCTTTCTTCCTTCCTCCTTTCCTGCCTTCCTCTGCCATCTGAGCATTCCCGTGCATCATTCTCCAGCCTCTTTCTCACTGCACCCTCAGGCTCTGGGAAACTGAGTGACTCCCCTGAAGTGATCCAAACTCAGGTCTGTCCAGCTTACCAGTGTTTTGTTTTGTTTTGTTTTTCATTCTCTTATGTGGAGGAGAACAAGTAAGGCCCCCTTAATACTAACCCGTGGGCTTAAGCCCTAGTTCCCCGCCTGCCGACCAGGTGGACATTCCCTAGAGAGTATGAATGTGACTTGCGGATGCCAGCCCACCCGCCTCCCAGCCGCACTTGGCACCTGCAAACATCACCATGGAGCTCTGCAAGGCAACTCTTCCTTCCTCCTCTAAGTGACTTGCCAGTGGACCAGCGACCTCCCAGGTCCCTTCTTTCAACAAATAGCAGCAGGTTGGTGGGGATGTGATGCTGCCAGGTGAAGGGCAAGGTTTACTAAGCCTGAGTAAGGGACTGGGGGCAGCTGGGGACCTAGCCCCTTACCCAGGCTTAGAAAACCTTGCCCTTCACAAAAAGAGGAGTTTGCCCCAGAGAGGGTGATCAGGGAAGGAAAGAGAGGGAGAGTGCAGAAGCGGAAATTCCAGAGGCAATCATATAATTCAAGAACAAAGATGGACAGGCACCCCTAGGTTCCTGAATCCCCCACTCTTCTGCCACCCTGCCCTGCTCACATATCCAGGTACCCTCACACACCTGAGCCAATCCAGTCGGCTGTTTTCTGGGAGATGCTGGGGAAACCCACCTGCTGCTCAGGACTGGTGCCCCCAGTGAGCCCTGTGGTTTAAAGACAGTGGTCCTCAGGGCTGTGCAGAAGGGCTCTGTGCTAAAAACAGTTCTGCTATTTACTAAGTATGTGTTGGGCAAGTTACTTAACATCTTTGAGTTCACTTCCCTGAGCTGTAAAACATGTTGATGGGGCCTAAACGAGATGATGGAAGTGCCTGCAGCAGCACCCGATAGATCACATAGCATCACAGTCCTGGGCTGACCCCGGTTCTCTGCCCCAGGGAGTTCGAGTTCTCATGTCCCAAACTGCAGACTCAGTGCCCTCCGAGAATGTCACTCCTCTCCTCTCATCTCTAGAAGTTTGAGTAACTTCTTTGCTGTTTATTGAGAGATTTGACCCAGTGTCTTCTCATTCCCTTCTGTCCCTCTGGGATTTTCTTCCATCAATTTTGCTTCCTTTTTCATACCTGTCACCTGAGCTTCCAAATATTGATCTCTCTTCATCCTAAAAATATTTCTGTGCCTCATCCCTGCAGGCTCAAATGTGATCTTCCTTCTCTTTACCATCACACGTCTCAAAATAATGATTGGCATTTCTTGAATGTTTCTCTCGAAGGTCCTCTCTGAACTCCTAGCGCCAATTCCAGCCATGCCTTGGGGTCAGCACTTCCTCCTGCCGCCTCTGCACCTTCAGCTCCAACCTGGAACTTTCCTGACAGCCCCTCGGTCCTCATATCAAGTCATTTGTAACATTTAATGCAACTGACACTTCCCTCTTAAAAAATCTTTCTCGGCCGGCACGATGGCTCATGCCTGTAATCCCAGCACTTTGGGAGGCCAAGGTGGGCAGATCACGAGGTCAAGAGATCGAGACCATCATGGTGAAACCCCATCTCTACTAAAAATACAAAAATTAGCTGGGCGTGGTGGCAGGCACCTGTAATCCCAGCTACTCAGGAGGCTGAGGCAGGAGAATCACTTCAATGTGGGAGGCAGAGGGTTCAGTGAGCCGAGGTTGTGCCGCTGCACTCCAGCCTGGGCGAGAGAGCCAGACTTCAATTAAAAAAAAAAGTCTTTCTCAATGTCTGGATATTTTGGAAATGTACACTGCAGTATGAAGGAGTGGAAAGACACAACGTCCAGGATTTACTTTACTTCAGAAAATAAAAAAGAGAAAAAGAAAGAAAAAGAGGAATAGAAGAAGCAAAAATGATATGCAAAATCTTGACCATTATTTAATTCAAGATGTTCAGGGTGGGTATTTGGGGATTCACTCTTAGTGTCTGTATTTCTACATACAAAGCAGTTGATATTTCCCATGGTAATTTTAAAAATTATTTTTATTTAGTTAATTTTCGGAACAAGGTCTTGCTCTGTCATCCAGGCTGGAGCACAGCGGTGCAATCATAGCTCACCAAAACCTTAACCTCTCGGGCCCAAACCATCCTCCCACCTCAGCCTCCCAAGTAGCTGGGACCGCAAGGACATGCCACCATGCCTGGCTAATTTTTTATTTGTTTTTCTAAGATACAGGGTTTTGCCAAGTTTCCCAGGCTGGTATTGAACTCCTGAGCTCCAGCGATCCACCTTCCTTGACCTCCCAAAGTGTCAGGATTATAGGCGTGAGCCACTGTGCCCGGCCGATAATTAGAAATTATTTTTCTTTCCCAGATCTCCTTATCACACATCCCTGCTGGCTCTGCTCCTTTTCTGAGACCTCCTCCTATTCCCATCTTTGTCTTCTCTTTTTCTACCTGCTTTGTGAAAAATAGGTGCTTCCCAAGGCCCTTGTTCACCTCTGCCGGTGGCCAGTGCCGAGGCCTGGGTGAAACTCACCTGAGCCTGCTGTGAAAGGGAGCCAACACAATAGCTTTAGTCCTGGCCTCTCTCCAGACTCCAGACCCACATGCATTTTTTAAATTTACACATCTTTTAAATTTGTATATAAACGTAAAGAATAAAGAGACAAAATCCATGACCCACTATCCAGATTTAACCAGTGCTGACATTTTGGTATATTTGCTTTATAGTTATGGAAATAAGTTACAAATATAGCTGAGGGTGGGTGCGGTGGCTCACGCCTGTAATCCCAGCACTTTGGGAGGCTGAAGGGGGTGGATCACCTGAGGTAAGGAGTTGGAGACCAGCCTGACCAAGATGGTGAAACCCTTTCTCTACTAAAAATACAAAAATTAGCTGGCTGTGGTGGACGAGTAATCCCAGCTACTCGGGAGGCTGAGGCAGGAGAATTGCTTGAACCCAGGTGGTGGAGGTTGCAGTGAGTCAAGATCATGCCACTGCACTCCAACCTGGGTGACAGAGCAAGACTTCGTCTCAAAAACAAACAAACGAAAATATAGCTGAAGGCCCTGACACACTTCTCCCAGACCACATTCTCTTCCCTTTCTCCCCATAGGAAGCCACCGTTCTAAACTTGGTGTACAGCTCCAGACCACGTTTGTACTTTAACCACAGGGGCTAGTGTCTAGAACAATATGTAAAATGATTTTATTCTTTTAATCTTCATGACTCTTTATGTATCTGTCCGCAATTTGTTTCACTCAGCACCATGTTTCCCCCATATTGATACACACAGATCCTGTTGCTTCATTCTGAATGCTGCAGAGTAAGTCCTTTCTCTTAAGACACACGTCGCAAGTTGTCTATCCTCTTCCCTAACGTCTCGAGGAAAGGCTGCTGTGGTGAGTAGTCTTTGCGGGTCTCCTGCTATGCACCTGCATGTGGCTCCTCACCTGCCGTTGTCCCCGAAACACTGTCCTGTGCTTGTTTGCTTTTCTGACTCCCCCACTGAACCCCCAGCAGACAGGGAATTCATTTAATCTCAATGCTATTAGGGCATCATGCCTAGCTCAAAGTGGATTAATATGAAGGAGGAAAAGAGGGAAGGAAAATGAAGAAAAAGAAGGAAGGGAGGAAGGGAGGGAGGAGGACTTTCTATCGCCAGGCTCAGGGGCCAAGGACTAGGCAGCAAGTGGGATTATTTTCTGGAAGTCCAGGTATGAAGTTGTAGTGAGGAATCCAAGAGGCATTTTAATAGCGATGTTTATGCCTGGGACCAAAGAACACACTGTCAGCACAAGTTTTACCTCTCAGCAGAAAGATGTGAGCTGCTGCATTTTGCACTGCTCCTGAAACAGACATCTGATAGAAGCTAGGTATAGACTATTAGGTGTCATTTCCCAGATGAAGGGAACCACATGGTCTCAAGCTAAGCTAAGACTCGACAGAGAAAAGATAAGACTTTGACAGCAATTCAGCCAACATGGATTTCCACTTCTGCTCTGTGCCAGGCAGCCCAGATGAGCCCTGAGGAGGGTCTGGGTAGGGCATGGCCTCTTCAGTCCCCTACAGACCACTCACTACATGAAGCAAATCATGACACGCCCCTCCTTCAAAGCCTCCAATGTCTTCCAGCAGCCTTGGAATGAAGCGTCAGCTTCTTGCTCTGCTGGGCTCTGAGATCTGGCCCTGTCCTTCCTGCCTCCCTCCCTCCTACCCAGGGACACCAGCACTGACCCTTCCAACCAGGTCCCATCAGGGCCTTCGCACTCATGGGGCAGCATCTTTTCACGGAATCTCCCTCCCACGTTCCATCACTGCCTCCTCTACCCTGTGGCTGTCCTGCCACAGTGTCTTCATGGCACTTTCCACCGGCAGAAATTACAGGATTTGCCTATTGTTGCTGTCTCTTTGTTCCACTAGAATGTAAACTCCTGAAGGGCAGGAGCCTTGTCTGAATGGTTTGTCGGCTGTAGCTCCCTCGCCCACAATTGCAAGTCACCTAATGAATACTTGTTGCGAGTGGACTACTGATGGCCTCAAGAGTCCCTGCCCCATCGTCCCCGAGGCTCAGCTGTGACACTGCAACACTCCTGCACCCCAATTATAAATTCCCCTTTGGCTCAAACTAGTTTGATTTTGCTTTGATAACTGCATTTCACAGTTCTGCAAAGCCTTGTGGGAGAGGAGCTGGGCGGAGAGCTCACTGGATCAGGAGGCAGCCAGTGAGTGCTGACCCTGGTCAACACGCACACACTGATCGGAGAACTGAGAAGCGGCTGCACATCTCTCAGGCCATCAAGTACCTGTGGTGACCATGAGCAGTAAGGCGTGTGGCGAGATGGGGCAAGCCTGGGTTTTCCTTCATACCTGGTGCAGAGCAGGCATTCGGGTATCTAGCAGGTTTGCCTCTCAATCCATAAACTGGGTCTCTAGTGAATTGGTATTCCAGCTTCTAATTCCACTAGGCTGGAAGTCACAGGTTGGTTGTTACTGGACTCCAGGAGGCTCCCAAAGTCTCATAGGAACCCAGGAGACCTAAATGGTCCAAGGGCAGGAGAGAGGGCTGCTCGTCCCCAGCCTCGCAGCAGATCTGCTCCTCAGTCTTCAGTGTCTATGCTCAGAGCCATTCCTGTAAGTCTACTTCCAGGCAAAGGACCCTACTGAGGTGGGGCACCCAGCCCCGGGGCCTATGTCTCTCTAAGGCGCACCAGGTAGCCGCTGCCTCGGAGCTCTTGCTGTCAGAAACCCACCTGAGCACAATCCAGGCAGCACCTGTCCTCTGCTCACCCGGGCCACAAAGGATGCTCTGGGCAACTCCTCTCCCATGACATTCACGTGGCATAGGGGATAATGGTCTGCTCTACCCTCAAGCCATCAGAACTTAAGGGGCTCAAGCATCTTTCTCTCACAGATAGATGCCCCCTGCTCTCCCTGCTCTCCCACTCAGCTGGGGAGCAGAGGTCCAGAGCATTTTCTCGGAAACTCAACCTGATGTAATCTTTCTTACACATTCTTTCTCATCAGTATCCCTCCCCACCCACTGTGTGCGTGCGTGCGTGTGCGTGCGTGTGCATGTGTTGGGATAGGTGTGTTCGTTCAGCCATTCTCTCCACTCTTTCATTTACACATGTGGGCTGTGCTTTTTAAGACAGCAGCCAAGACTTAACGTCTTTGTTTTCTTGTTCTTCCATCACACCTCTCTCCAGGCAGCCCTGGCTTCTGACTAGGAGTGTCACAGGGTGGAGATGGCGTAGCAGTTCATCCTTTACGGACCACCCAACCGCAGAAGTGAGTGCTTGAAAAAAGGTTTCATAGACTGTTGGGAAAGGCTGGGCACATGCCCTTTTCTTAATGACTCACGGGGCAGGTAAACACAGTAAGGGTCATCTCCAGGAAACAGCCCTGTGTATATGCCAGTGATTCCCAAACGCGCTCAGCTACAGAGGCTTCTTTAGAGGAGCCTTGGGTAGGCATGGCCCAGGCTTAGGCTCCTGTTCCCAGGACTGCCGGGCTGTACTTCTGCATACAAAGCAGTTGACACTTTTCACAATAATTTTAAAAATTATTTTTACTTATTTAGTTTTTTGGGACAGGGTCTTGCTCTGTCACCCAGGCTGAAGTACAGTGGTGTCATCATTGCTAACTGCAGCCTCAACCTCCCAGGTGACAGCAGTGACTCCTGTGGGACAGGAATAATGCCTGCAGAAGAGCTTAGGTGGGTGGATTCACCTCCTACTGCTGCTGCAAACTTCACGACTTAATACAATGCAGATGTGTCCTCTTACTGTCCCGGAGGCTGGAAGTTTGAAATGGGTCTTATGTGCTAAAATCAAGATGTGGGCAGGGCTGGTCCTTCTGGAGGCTCTAGGTGAGGAGCTCTATTCCTCACCTCTTTCAGCTTCTAAGGCCACCACAGTCCTTGGCTTGTGGCCCCACCTCCATCACCAATTGCATCCCCCTAACCTCTGCCTCCTTCATTGTGTCTCCTCTCTGATCCTCCTACCTCCCTCTCAGAAGCACCCTTGTGATTATCTGGGGCCACCCACATGGTCCAGGATTCTC